TTTTTATGCCACTGTAACTTCAAACAGTCACTAAATGAATGGTTGTAAGTTGAAGATTACCTGTACTACATTTTGAACTGAATGTTTATAAAACAGGCAGTTTGTTTAGTTAACATGGTGGGATGCCTCTTTGCAGAGTTAACTGGCACAGATCTGTAAAAATCCTTTCTGAAGTTATCGAAATTAGTGATTATCTCTACACCTCGTGGCAGCAAAGCTTGTTAAATTAACTCCACATAACGTTTATTTAGATAATGCTTCTGTTCAGTAACAGAAAATCCCAAGAGGGCCAGTGACAACATTGGATGAATCTGTACTGAGGTTTTCACTGAGGGGTGATCCAGCGACCTCACTTCTGAAGTAGTTCTCTCTAGTTTGCACTAACCTTTTCTGTCTCATTTTATCACAGGCCCTGTGGCTTTGAGCAATCACCCACAAGTTGATGGATACCCACCTGTCTTCCTTGCTTTAAGATAGTGGGGTTGGCAGCTCCATTGCGCTGGCTGGCTCCTAGGAGGCCACTGGGACCCAAAAGCCCCAGCCGTGTAGTGGGGAGATTTCGAGAGGGAATTTGGAATTGGCGTGGGTTTCTTCTGCCCATTCCTGCACCTGCAGATCCAGCTGTCGGTAAGGAGTTTGACTGGCCAAAACCTCGGCTGAGAAAAAAAGATCAGACAAATCCAAGTCCGTGCAATTCACCTCCTGTATTATAAACTCCAAACAGACACCTCAGTCATGATAAATATACAAACTTGGCTAAAGTGCCCTAATCTCCCTCTTTCTGAGGGAGCCTTGAAGCTAAAGATCTTGCACGTTGTCTATGGACATGGCAAAATCACTTTAAAATGCTGTAATTAAATAATGCTTCACAGGATTACAGAACTGTTTTAGAGCTTTGCACTGAAATCACCAAAATAAATAAATCACTGCAAATAATTTAATTTGAACTAAAGTCAAATTCCTGTTGAGAATCTGGAACTTAATAATTTTGTATGTGTGATTTCTTCCAACTCCTACCCTGTCACCTGATCACAAATTGCTCAACCCACCAGAGTTTCCAGGCACAGTGGAAGTGTAAAAGTTGCTAGGCTGGATTAGGCTTGTTCCTGGGCAATTGTGAGCCTTGATTTTTTTTTCTCCTAGATCCAAGGGGTGTGCGTCCCACCCACTGGCCCTCTAGGCCTAGCCCCACAGCATTAACACAGCCAACCCTCTATAGTATTGGCACTCCCAGGAGTTGAGTCTGCAGGACGAAGCCCCAATCTTACGTTCTTTGCTGCCGGTATCCCGAGAGGTCTAAGATGGATTTGCGAGGGAAAGACCTGAACAGTTTTTGCACCTGCTGTTTCCATGACAACAGTCTTTTCTTCTGTGTCTCGGTAAATGCCTGCCCAAGAGAGGGAGTTATGGGAGGGTGGAGGGAAGGGGAAAGGGGGTAAACATTCAAAATAGAATAATGATTAGAAGAAAAAGTCACAAGTGATCTTCACCATCATCATTAGGATGACTGGCTTATTAGTAAAAACATTTCACTAGTGAGAACACAATACCTTGTTAGAGGCAACCACTGTACTCAAACAGCAAGTTCTACACTCAAGAGTCTGAATCTATATTTTTCAGTATAACTAATTATGCTTTGTAGAAAGACAAATTGAGCCACAGACATTTCTGCATTTTAGCATCACTGAGATGAATCCCCACAGGCTGATGCTGTGAATTTGACTAATTTTGCGATCCTCGTGTCATTCTATGGAGGGGCTGTGAAATAGCCTCTCCCCAAGTTCCAAACGCCATTACTGCTCTTTCCAAGTGCAAGTTGCCAAGCACCATTTCACGTGGCTTTGCTAGCAGCAAACATTTCAGGCTTCTCATGGGATCAACATTTCAGAAACACTGGTCTCATGTCAGCCACAATGTTACTTGTCTCTATTTGGCTTAGCATGATGAAAAAGTTGGAAGGCACACTCTAGCCTACACCAGGGTTGGCCCCTACTCAGCGCAGGAATCCAGATTTAAGTATTCCTAAAAGATGGCTGTCTAGTCCCAGCTTGATATGACACTGGGGTTGAGCATCATTTCTCTGAGAACTAGCATACCACTAACATCTTATTGTTAACCAATTAACGATAAGATATTAGTGATGAACCAATTCCCAGAGAGATAATGGGATGTGCCGTCAAGTCAGTGTCAACCCTTAACAACCACACAAATTGATCTGTCCCAAATTGACCCACCACGCTTTCCAACAGTGCACCCACTGCCACTGTGGTCAAGTCCATTCCATTGGAACTGGTTGTCTTCTTCTTTTTCCTTTCATCTTTCCTGGCATTACAGATTTCTCAAAAAAAGCCAAGTCTTCACAAAATGGATCCAATAATATAATAACTTGAACCTGTTCATTTTGCCTCAAGCAAATACTCAAGATTGATTTGCCTATGACCCCTCTGTTTTCTAAGCTAACCATGGTATTCTCAGAAGTCTTTTTCTAACACCAACATTCAAAAGCATTAATACTCTTTCTATCTTGTTTCTTTAAAGTCTAAATTTAGAGTAGAGTTCCCCAACCTTTCGGAGTTGGTGGCCCAGAGCAGGAGGAGGAGAAAAAGAAGGGATAGTTTTTTTTGTGTGTGTGTGTGTGGGGGGGGTAAATGCAAGTGTATGTGGGGGGTTGTGCGTGCATGCGTAGTCACATGCACCGGCCAGCCATTCATGTGGCCTGGTGGCCAATAGGCCGCGGTCCGTAATGAGTCGTGACCTACAGATTGGGGACCCCTGCTTAGAGGACAATTAGAAATTTCAGGATTCCCATTTTTCTAAGGAGATTTTACAGGTTGACATGGTCAATGCAACCAAAGGCTTTTCTATTATATTTTCTATTCTATTCTCTGGTTTTCTCATTTACCAAGTATACATATTTTTCATGTTCCTTTGTATTTTCTAAAACCAGTTTGAACATCTGGCATCTCACTTTTCATGAAGGATACCAATCTATGTTACATATAGGCATTATTTTGTAAGCATATGAAATTAAAGACATTTATAGAATAGTTCGCACATACTGTTAAATCTCCTGGGGTACCTTTTCCAATCTATAGGCCATTGCGTTATTGTTCAGATCTGCTAATACGGTTTGGTTAGAATCTTCTGTTGCTTGCCATATCTCTAGAAATATTTTATTAATTTCTGTAGCCTTCTGACTTGGTAACGACCAAGGTGCTGATTTAATTTCATCTTACTGTACTAGAAATTCTTGTAAATAGGGATGATATTTTAAGGAATCTTGGATGCTGATATCTCTCTTGTACAGAATTTTAGCATACTCCTTCCAACTTGGTTTGATCTTCTTGAAATCAGTTGCTATTTGTCCATTGGTGTCTTTTTAGCAAATCAATGCAAAGTTGGAACTTCTTTCTAAATTTGGGGATCTTTTGGATCTTATTTGTCTGTGTCTGTTTTTATTTTTGATGTCTTTCCAGATTTCACTGCAATACTGTTTCTTGTCTTTTTAATAGCTGTCTGAAATTCTTTTCAATGTTCCTTCCTACAATTTTTGTCTTTCTTGGCTCTGGCTTCTCTTCTTGGCAATTTCCACTGTTTGTTCTAATATCCAGCTTGCTTTCGTCTGTTTCTTGGTCTTTGGCATTTTCTGTTCAAATTTATCTTTAACAACATCTTTGATTTTATACCACAGTTTCTCTGATTCCCTATAAATGGTTCAAGACTTTAAAGCAATTCCCAATGTTCTCTTTGAAAATTGTGGGTATATGCTCAAGATACATCCTGGAAACTGACTGACTTTCTGTTTTAGCTTGAATTGGAACTTGCATATGAGCAATTCATGATCTGTTGCTATTATAAGTGACCTTTTCCACTTACTTGTATCAATCATATAAACAATTTAATTTCTGTGTATTCCATGTATTGCCCATGTCCATGTCTAGGTTCTTTGAAGACTGGGTTAGAAATCAGGAAATAATTGGATTGGCAGAAACCACTATATCATTTCTGTATCAATTATATACTTTTTTTCCTTTCTACTTCCAACTTTGGCACTGCACTCTTCAACCATAAGCAGCACCTCTTGTTTGCACATTCAGTCCATTTCAGATTGAATGTTCCTATTATTAAAAAAAATCTTGTTCCTAACAATCAACTGGAATCTGCCTTCTTGCAACTTATCATTATTGTATCTCTTGCATTTTGGAACAACAGACAACAAACCTTTGCCTTCTTCTACTACTTCTTCTGTAATTTCAGTTACTTGAAGTGTGCTATCATCTCTCCTAGCCAATCTTCCCTTCTGGAGGCTAAACATCTCCTGCCCTTCCAATCTATCTTCATAGGACTTAAAATTAATTATTTTGATTATCTTTGTTGAACTTCTTTACTTCTGAATCTTTTTTAGGTTTAATTAAGAAATTGTGGTTAATAAATCATAGCTTTGTTTGCTTTCCTCACTAGGGCCAAGAAAGAGTCAGGTGGAATAAATATTATTACACTATCATAAAAAGAGTCCCAAAGGTGCTTTTTCACAAGGCAACTGGACTTTCTTTTTTCTCTTTGAAGACATTTCACTTCTCATCCAAGAAGCTTCTTCTGCTCTGACTGGATGGTGGGGAATGGAAGGATTTATACTCCTTGCAGACAGCTGGTCATTTGCATTCTTTTAGAGAGTCATTGATGCCACCTGGAGGCTTAACGGTGTTGTCAGGGTCACCTGAGTAGTGCAAACGGGTGTGGAGCCTTCTTAGAACTGTTTAAAGGACTGTGTTGTAGACTGGAGATAGATGACGTCCTATCCCTCCCTCTATGTTGAGAGAGGGCTGTTCAATTTTGACATAAATTCACCACCATCCAGTCAAAGCTGAAGAAGCTTCTTGGATGAGAAGCGAAACGTCTTCAAAGAGAAAAAAGAAAGTTCAGTTGCCTCATGAAAAAAGCACTTTTGGGGCAGCCATGACCTGGATGGCTGAGAATATCAATAGACATATTGTAAAATGACAGATTTGGTCAGACTGCACCAGACTGGCAAACATTTGTGGGGAGAATGAAAGTAGCACTTCATGAGAGATTGGACTGAAACAAATGAGTTCTCTTAATAGTCAGCTTCAACTATATTTAAACTGTAAGCCTGGGCAAAGATGAGAGCAAAAAACCCAATACAATCCATTTGCTTTGAGGTGAGGTGATGATAGGCGGCTAAGGTTGACCAGTCAACTGGTCATTTGGTTTATAGTACTCCAGATGTTATGGAATCTCTCTTCAATGCCAGATGCCATTGAATAGCTGGCTATAAATGCTAACCGTTACTCAAAGCTTTGAAGTTTTCTGGAAGCTAGAAGACGGTTACAGTAAGCTATGTGTAGTTCAGGAATGCCAGAATTGGAGAAGAAAAATTGCAGCATAGAGGGAGGTCCAAGTGTGACCACAGACAAAGAACAGGGCAACAACCTTTGACTTATGCAAGATCATTATTAACTGAGGGGAATAAACTCCAGAGTATTTAGAACCATATAAGGAAAATGTTTGCCAATTGTAATTGCAAATTAATAGCAATTATACTCAGAGGTGTTTCTTTCATTAGTCTGTTTATTGTAAACAAAATCTTTCTAACATCATTTTATTAACAGAGAAGCAAAGAACCAGAAAGGATCCTTAGAAATCATATACTCCATTTCTCCACTTAATTATGACTGCCTTATTTAATACTGTATTTATAATAACTGGCAATGGATTTTCATTGATTTGTATTAAGAGTCTTCCCAATATTACCTGGCTGGGCACGAACTGATTTTAGAGCAGACAAACTATCACTAAGCCACACCCATGCATATTCATCCTCAAATGGTCATATTTGCATATCTAGGAAATACAGCAAATCTCTTTAAGAAATGGAGAGAGAACAAGAGTTTACAAATCTCCCTCCATTTCTATGGCCCCCTAAAATTACTCACCTCATGAATTAGGCATTTGTCTATGAGTTGTAGATAGGAGCTTATATTCTCCTCGTCAGGCCTGGAGACAAGGAGCTGAGTACAAACTGCAAAATAACAACAACATCATTAACAACATAACTTTGAATTTAATAAGAAGAATGGACTCAAACTATCCTCAATGGGACACTGATGCCTTTTTCAGCTTTGTTCCATCCTTTGCTTTCTGTTACTGTGATGTCAACCTGGTATTCCACGTAGATCTATTTATAAAAAGGAAACTGCTGGGCCTCCTGCTCTAGTATGGAAAATACAATCAAATGCATTTTATAATATTTTATTGTTATTATCATTTTACATTAGTATTATGATAAAAAGTATAAATAAAATAAAAAATATATAATAAAAATATGCTGCTTCATACTAAATCATATTGGATTCATAGAGAGCAAACGTTGATATCTGGATTAGGCCGCCATAATACAGCACCCCTGAGATGAGTTATTTATTTTTTTTATATCCTGCCTTTATTATTTTTATAAGTAACTGAAGGTGGTAAACATATCTAAAGCTCCTTAGCTTATTTTTCCAGAACAACAACCCTGTGAGGTGGGCTGGGCTGAGAGAAAGTGACTGACTCATGGTCACCCAGTCAGCTTTTATGCCTAAGGCGAGACTAGAACTCAGTGAATCCTGGTTTCTAGCCTGGTATTTTAACCACTAGACAGGGGTAGGCAACCTTGGCTCTTTTATGACTCGTGGACTTCAACTCCCAGAATTCCTGAGCCAGCCATGCTGGCTCAGGAATTCTGGGAGTTGAAGTCCACGAGTCATAAAAGAGCCAAGGTTGTCTACCCCTGGTTTAATAGATCCATATAATGCAGTGGATAGTACAGAATGACCTTAAGTTGAAAGACTGCTCCAGCTCAACATATTCTATAATTCTATGGAAAATTCTGTTATCTGAGAAACTGATTCTGGATCTGTTTATATGCAAAACATACGTTCTACAAGCCACTTATATTTTAAATTCAAACAACTCCAAACACAGCTCAATTTTAGTTGCAAATGTCCTGGACCGATGGTTTGTGCCTCTATTAAATGCTGCTGTTGCTGCAACTATGGAAGGAGGCAAGATCAATGTGTGAGATCTTTACTGCAGTTTGACTGGTAGGGAATATAAATCACAGCAAATGTATACAGCAATTGCATTTTGGATAAATGGGGACAGAAGGAGAAACAGAACCAGAAAGAAAAGGAGAAGAGAAAGTGAAAGAATGTTCATATACAGGTAGCCCTTGACTTATGACCACAATTGAGCCCAGCATTTATGTTGCTAAGTGAGAAATTTGTTAAGTGAGTTTTACGATTTTTCTTGCCACATTTGTTAAGTGAATCACTGCAGTTGTTAAATTAGAAACACGGCTATTAGGTTTCCCCATTGACTTTGCTTGTCAGAAGGTCACAAAAAATGATCACATGATCCTGGGACACTGCAACTGTCATAAATATGAACCAGTTGTCTGAATGTGAATCACATGACCATGGGGATGCTGCAACAATCATAAGTGTGAAAAATAGTCAAAAGTCACTATTTTCAGTGCCATTGTAACTTCAAACCGTCACTAAATGGACTGTTGTAAGTCAAGGGCTTCCTGTACAGCAGATAAAGCAGAGTGAAGGTACAATAATATGCAACACAAAATACAAAAATTGAAAACTGGATCCTATATTTAAACTTATGATATTAAAGTTATTACATGGACCTGAGAAGGAGAAATTCCTAATATCTAATTCTATTAGATCATGTTTTTCCAAGTGAAAGATTATTGCTACTTTAGTATGGAGGGTGCTGCATTCCAAATCATAATGACAGAAGAAGCCTTCACAAAAGCTGTAACTAATTTACAATAAACTTAAATCAAGTTGAATGGGTCACAACAGATGGCAGCTGATCTTGAATGATACTGCAAAAGATGAGCAATATGAACTCCTTTATTCTTAGACAGGAGCACACCAGGAAATCCCCAAAGTAAATAGGCAATTTTAAAAGAAAATCTCAGAAAAGACAGTAGAAAACCAGTTCTGGGTTACATGTGAAGAGGTTCTCAAACATTGTGGTAAAATCAGGCATATGGGGGATCAGAAGGGAGCCAAATGCTGGCTGTACCCCCTCTTTTGATCTTGTAGGTCAGACCTGGGCATTTCAAAGCCTGTGGGCCCGTGGGTGGTTCCAGTCCAGCCTGTGGCATTGGCAGTGGCAGTGGGGTGGAGGGGGCAGGATGTTAGAGCAGCATCGGTGTGTGTGTGTGTTGGGAGCAGGTAGCATCGAGAGGCTCGAAGCACCCCTGCAGAACAGTCCCATGCGGCCTCTTGGGAAAATGAATCACCCACCCTTGTTCTAGGCTTTGCCATAATGGATGGTTCTGGGCTGTCTGGTTGCACAGGATTCCCGAAAAACAGGTTGAGCCCTTCTGCATTAGTTCCTCATCGCCCAGTTCTCTGTATCAGTGCTAAGGCCAGTATGATTGTGGAGCCACCTTTTTGGTTTCACTTTGCTCCAATTCTTCACACTTTGCTCTTCCACTCAACTGGAATTTTCTTTTAATAAGTTGTTTATTAGAGGTAAGCCATCCAGAGTCATTTGGATCAGGCAGCCTATACATTAATTAGTTAACTAAATAAGGAGTCCCTGGACTCCTCCTGGCTAATGAATGATAACCTGTATCAGGCACAACTGCACCGTGAATAAAAAGCAAACATGCTGCTCACCTTTTCCCATCACTTTAGTAAACTGTCCTGGGATGTCCCCTTCTGGCGAAGGGATACCTCCAGATTCCCCCTCACAACCAGGTAAGGTGTGATGCTGCATTCCTCCTGAGGCAGAGTCCTTGCAATCCAACCCTGGGTTGTCTGAGCCAATCAGAGAAGTTGGTCGACGGAGCTGAGGATCCCGACTGTGCTCATCCACTGACAGGTTCCGAGAAGCGTAGGCTTTGATTGGGGTAAGGATCATTTGGTGAAGCTCCTGCAATGGGAGGCGCAGATTGCCTCCTTCTAGGATATCCTGCAGATAGCAATACAGACCCACCCATGAGCATCTCAAATCCTGAAGCGTATCATCATGTCATAGTTTTGAGCCAAGCA